GGAGGGTGGGAGGCCAGCAATTGTTTCAACAACCAGTTTTTGCTCCCCCGGCGCCCTCCGACGCCCATTTTTCTTACTTCCGAGCTAATGTTGAACAACCTGGTCCCTTTTTCTTGAACTTTGAACCACATATTTGTGATGTACACACTAATGAAGCTTCATGAATTCCATGGCCGGCCATTAATTCAACTTGACCCTTTTGACCCCCTCCTTCCGGGCTAATGTTGAACCCCTTGGACCCATTTTCTTGGACTTTTAACCACAGGGTTTTGTTGTACACAGATAGGAGGACCCCACCAGTTGGTGGCCGGCCAGAAAATCTGATTGACCTTTTTGACCCCTAGCCGGCCGGCTAGGGGGTGTGGCCGGCCGGCCACCTGCAACAAAAGTGCCAGGCCGGCCAGCTTCCTTGCACTGTGCACTTTCCAGCTGTGGGGCAATATCCCCCAGATATTTTCTGTATCCGGGGGATATTTTGGGAGAGAGTTTTGCTCTCCTTTTCACCCCCCATTTACACCCTCTTCTTGTCCATATAACCAGCTGGTGGTCTTCTTGTTTAGGGTTAGAAAAATTCATCTCCAAGCACAAACACTAAACTCCATTGTTATCTCTCTCAAATCTTCAAAAAACCCTAATCCTCTAACCATCATTCCTTATACACCACCAAGCTCTACCACCACCATCTCATTTCCAGCAACAAGGAAGGGTTCTTGAAGGGCAAAGAAGCTGCAAATCCATCCAAGAAGCAACAAAAGTTTAGATCTTCAAGGGTAAGTAACACTTTTACACTTTTGACCCTTTTTCTTGATCTATTTCTAAGCCCCACTTGCTTTTTGTTTCAAGCTCCGGCCCTAACTGGAAAGGGCCCTATTTTGAGCTCATCTTCACCTTTCATTAAGGGCTCAACCCTGTTTGAGCCCTCCATGACACACTTGCTTCATTGATCCTCTTGTATGTCATAGTTTTGCATGCTATTTTTGACCCATGAGCAATTTATTTTCGAGCATGTTGTAAACTGACATTAGGCTTATTTTGAGCCCCTCTTCAACATTGGAGAAGGGCTCAACTTTTTTTGGGGTCCCCATGTATCACTTGTAGTTATATCCCTATTTTATTCCCCATTCTTGCATGCAATGGCAGCCCATCATACTTTTGTTTTTGGCCATTTTACAGTTCTGGGAAAGTTCTTATTTTGGTCCATACTTCATGTTTCATTTAGGTCCTTTCATGGTTTGAGGTCTCCATAGGGCACTTCATGTTATATCTCCCTTTTATTCCCCAATCTTGCATGTTTAGTTAGCCTACCATGCTTTTGTTTTTGGCCATTTTCCAGTCCTTGAGAAGTGCTTATTTTGGTCCATTCTACATGTTTTGTTAAGGGCCTTTGGCTGTTTGGTGATTATTTTATATACTTCATGTTGTAGCCACTTTGAGCCTAATTTTGCATCGCATTTCTACCATGCTTGTACACTGATTTGAGGTCTGCCATATACTGTAAATGTTCATATTTTTGGTCCCTCTTCAATGTTGTAGAAGGAAAGTTTTCAGTTTGGGTCTTTCTTATATCACTTGCTTCATTACCCCTCTTTTGGCCCC